AAATTCATGTTTCTGATGGAGGAGCCAGTGTGTTTCAGGAGATGTGTAGGTCAAGTCAAAACCAGTCTGACCTTCCATGAGAACAACCCAGTGTTTGTCCTGCTTTGAAAATGAGGCTGTCTATATCTATAGAAATAGATATGGACATAATTGACCTTATATAATATACAGTATATAACATGGATATATGTCTTAATATGGTAACTCAGAATTTTGCTTTTCAAAATGCTTTCAGAAATGATAGCCTTTAGAATAACTGTGGCATGATGCAGATTATAAAGATCTAGAACTCAGCAAATTAAAGATTAAAGATTTGGTTATTTACATGTATGACCTGTCTGCAGCATCACTACAAAATTATTGTCACTTCCCTTTTATTGTTGTCCCTTCCCAATAACACTGGTTACTCATTGTAACTCTGAAGCCAGAATTTAAAGCATTAACGTGGACTTTTCCAAACTGTACTGCCACTTGCTCTTTGAGACAGAAACCAAAAGTCAACAAATAGGTTAACCAGCTGGTACGTACCAGGCACCGAAAGTGGCTGTGAAAGTGGTTTCACTCAACAGATTAATATCATGAGTATATTGTTCCTCTTTGTAATGTGAATGCAAGCTTCTTTGCTAAACAGACTTTGTTCGTTTCAGATAGCTTTAACTGCCTGACTTGATCAGTTGGTAGGTTTAGGCTTTTTCTGACTTACTGTTAGAATTGTAGGGCTCGTCAGCTTCCCTCTGAGAAGTTTTTAAAAATCTTACCTGCTCTATACTCTCCTTTTATCGCCTAAAGCCGCTTTTGACCTTCACCATAAGTTACTAACTCAGCTGTTTGCTGGGGCCAGAGGGGGTCCTGGATGTGAAGCCTGCCAGCACACAGAAGGAATTATGTATTTCCCTTTCATCAGGACCAGTGCCATGTGTCCGTTTTCAAATCAGGAAATGCTGAGAGCCTTGCAGCATAAATCCAGATAGGTGTAATGGAGAAGTATGTGTCTGTAGTGTTTGTTTTTAAGTTTTATGAGAGGAAGTTAGAGGAATTGGGAATGTCCAGAGAAAATTCTTTCAGCCAGACTTCTAGAAAAGACAGCCTAGCTTAGGTTTGGAGGATTCGCAAACTTGTAACTTCATATTAAAATATTGTGATTATATTTCCCCTAGGTTTTACTTTTAAAAAGGGGGGGGACTTTATTTTATTTTATTTTATTTTTAAGATTTATTTAATTTTTATTGGAAAGGTGGATATACAGAGAGGAGACAGAGAGGAAGATCTTCCGTCCGATGATTCACTCCCCAGGTGGCCACAACAGCTGGTGCTGCGCCGATCCGAAGCCGGGAACCAGGAATCTCTTCCGGGTCTCCCACACGGGTGCAGGGTCCCAAGGCTTTGGGACATCTTCGACTGCTTTCCCAGGCCACAGGCAGGGAGCTGGATGGGAAGCGGGGCTGCCGGGATTAGAACCGGTGCCCATATAGTATCCTGGTTGTGGAAGGCGAGGACCTTAAGCACTGCGCCATTGCACCGGGCCTGGGACTTTATTTTAGAGCAGTTTGAGGTTTCACAGCAAAATTGTGAGGAAGAAACTGAGATTTCCCTGTATACCGTGTGTCCCCAGGACACGTGCATGACCCAGTCACATTATGAACACCTGTCACCATGGTGAGCTGTTTGTTCAGTTGGTATGGTTTGCTTTTTTTTCTTTTATATTCTCATGGTTAATATCTACTCAAGAAAATGGCTAAATTGCTTTGGAAGTTCATCCTGATATATTAACGCTATATGAAAAATGTTCTGAAATGACTAAAGGATACTCTTTGAAATAGTGTTACAGTCTTTTTGCACATTTAATGAAGCAAATGGCAAATATTAAAAATACATAAAGAAGACACTAGAATCCAGCTTAAATGCAGCTGTAACTACTGTTAGTGTCTGGTACATCTTCTAGACTTTGGGGTGTGTGTGTGTATATGTGAATAGAGATGAGGGGAAGAAAAAGATTCATACTAAAGTATATCTAAAACACTGTGCTTTAGATTTTTTAAATTGTTAGTAGCACTTTTATTTAATACAAATATATAAACTTATGAACTGATATAACAGGGAGACAGGAAACAAAGTTGTAATAATTAACATTCTGGCAACAGGGAATACCGATTACTTTATATAGGATATCATTAAAACAAGATGGGGGGGTGGTCTTATAATATAGAAATTATGGTAAAATTAAATTTTGTCTTGCTCTGTTAAGTAAACAGGTTGTCTCCCAACCCACGAATATCTTAGTACAATTGAAGAGCTTTAAAACACAGTAGCTTAATCTACAATGTTTTTGGATCTAGTTTCTGGTTTATCAAAAGCTGTTTCCCAGCCTAAAGGAAGTCCGAGATTTCTTACTTAATTGTTTTCTATGTTAGTCAACTCAAGCTGCCATAACAAAACTTCATAGACTAGATTTAAATAATGGAGGTGTTTATCTCATAGTTCTGGTTCCTGGCAGCCCACAGGTCCAATTCTTCTAGGGATTGACGGTGGCTCCCTTCTCGCTGGGTCATCCTCACAGGTAGCAGAGAATTAAGTTTTGTGGAAGGTTAGGGTGGAAATTAGCATCCCTATCCTTCTTATAGAACCTTAAATAAATCTTATTTTAAAAGAGTTAAGGGGAGATTAGCACCCCCATGAAGAACCTTAAAAACTTACATTTTGATGGGTTGAGCTTCAACATACAGCCGTTTAGAGGACACCAGTCAGTAATGACTAGACAGTTGGCTTTCTCTCATGTAATATATTGTGGATATCTTGTCCCTAAACTAATATCTCCTGTTGCCTAACACCAGCTTAGATTCCTGTGATAGGAATCACTGTCATTTTTAAATTTTTATATTCAGGGACATTGGGAAAAATTAAAAATATGCTTTAGTGTTGTTTATAGGTTCTGAAGACTATTACTTCATTATTTTTAAATAAAAGAGTCCAAAGAATATTAAGATTTATTTTTATTTTTATTTGAAAGAGTTAGAAAAGGAGAGACAGAGATAGATTGTCCATCCACTGGTTCACTCCCCATATGGCTGCAGTGGCCAGAGCTGAGCTGGTCTAAAGCCAAGAGCCAGGAGGGCTTTAACCACCCTCTTCTGCTTTACCGAAGCCATAAGCAGGGAGCTGGATGGAAGTGGAGCAGCCAGGACATGAACTGGCATCCACATGGGATGCTAGCACCGCAGGCATAAGTTTAGTCTACCACACCATAGTGCCAGCCTGCAAAGGAGATTAATTTTAAACTTAAACTGTCTCCCAAAATACTAATTTCATATCATTTACATAACTCTTAAAAAGCTTGAATTTAATCACTATTTTCCCCTGGCTAAATAAGTGTGTATGATCAGACCATTAGAGAGGGTATCAAAATTCCTTGGGCATTAATGATTGCTTTCTGCAGTAGTTTGAAGCCATTAAAAGATATAAGCTTGGAGCCTAATAAATCTTTATTGATATTTATGAATAAGGAGATAGCCATGAATAATATTATGAGAACTAAAACTGGAATTGTGTTGCATAAATGTTGAGCACTTTGAAAAATCATTTATTATTTGCCATAGGAAATAAAACATTTTTAATTTATTTATAGTTTAATCATTTTTGCATACTGCTACTTGAGCTTGTTCAGATGGAACACACATAGTTTCTGGATCCTATTATTTTACAGCATTGTGATTTTATCAGAGCCCTTCCCATATTGAACTCCTTGGTATACTTTGACATTGATTAGAAAAAAACAGCAAGAAATTCTTACTGGATGTGTCTCTTGGAATATAGATTCTTTTTTCTTTTAAATGAGTTTTAATGAAGTGTCTATACATTTAAAAGACAGCAGGAACCCAATTCCTTTCATGGTAGATGGAGTCCAGTGGCATTCCACTGAAGGCAAAGCTGTTTATTTCTGGTGCAGACACTTTATGTAACTTTTACTATGTGTTCAAAGTGATAATACTCAGGCATTGCTCTTGACCTTCCTGTCTAGTTGATTCTGCAGCAGATCCCAGTTTATTTATTGTAGACTCTGGCATCTTAAAAGATTTTCTGGTATTTTTTTATCAGAAAAACAGTGTTGGTCACTGAAGAAGAGAACGTGGGTGTAACCTGGGCCGGGCACAGCTGAGCTGCTGTGGTGACATTTGCTGCTCTTTATAAAAAGGCACGAGGGTAGATTGATAGCACTGGGGCTCAGCCTCTCATAAGGTCTCCTTTATACTTTGAGGAGAGGCCCAGAGCTGTAGTAAACCACACTGTGTTTCTGTGACTTAAAGAGAAATGAATTGATGAGATAGTTTTTAAAAATAACAGTAATGGCAAGTAAAAATTAAAAAGTGAAGGATTTTAGAAAATATGTTGAGGGTGGTGTAAGTGAATATTTACTTGAAATTGTGAACCCAGTGGGCTTCAAGCATGACAAATCTTATTTTCCTTACAATTTTCTATGAGGGTAAGTTTATGTCCTTTGTTCTATATTCCCTACCTAATTACTGAAAACATAAACTGTTTAATTGTGTAATTGTTGGTAAGGGAGCTACTATGTTGGTTCCTCAAATAAGGATGATAAAATAATTTCTAGTTGCTGGTTAATTTGGTTGGAGTTTGTATAATTTTCAAAGGTAAAAGGTTGAATAAAACTTACTAGCTGCATATATCTTTTTAGGATGAGATGTACAAAGTCAATACTTTTTTCAGTAGAATATATATTTTCAGGGTAGTAGTGTGTATTCTGGGTAGTTATATTGCTCTTTTATTATAGCAGATGCTTTTGCCACAAATATACATAGTGGAAAATGAAGTCATAAGATATCACTCTCTATTAAAAAAAAGCCTTATAGAAAATGAATAAAAAAAAAACCCAAATGACATTGATAATATTTGGAATGTGATTGAAGTGAAAAACCTATGAATCATTGTTTTCTGCCTTAAAAACTTCTGGGATTTATACTAAATGAATCACTGTCTTCTTTCAGATAAATTTGCGCCTCATCTTGGTAAGCGGAAAAACGAAAGAGTTCCTGTTTTCACCTAACGATTCTGCTTCTGACATTGCAAAGCATGTGTATGACAATTGGCCAATGGGTGAGTGCGGTTTTTCTTTTGAAAATGAATAGTTCGTTATTTATACACTATGTTGTTTCATCAGTATTTTGGGGGAAAATTATGTAGAAAAACAATGGAAGTGAGAGTGGAAGGCCTACAGTCCTAGGAGATCACTGCATGTCTAAATTCCCTTTATTTTGTGCCAGCTATCTCACTCCAAATTAAAAGGAGCCCAGAGCACAAAGCACCTGTTGTGTTTTGTTTGCCTTGGAACTGTTCAAATGAAAATGCAAAGCATTATCTAAACAGCAAAATGCAAAATAGGTAATGCACATATACTTACATTTACACCCCCTTCATACATCAAAACCTGAAGGGAAAGAAAAGGTGTCTCTCACAGCTTCTGATAGCTTCTCATTGGTCTACTGTGTATGTAACTTACTTAAAGTTAAGCTTTGAGACTAAGTTAATCTCTAATTCATGTCATTTCATATTCTCTGCACTCCGAAAATGTCATGAAGCAGTACGGTCCCTTTTTGTTTTCCATTCCCAGGCCAGTGTCTGCAGCAGGGATTGAGGGCATGTATGTGGTGCTGTTTCTTGCACCTGTTTTCGATGTGCCAGCTCTGACCTGCCTCCCTGAAATGAACTTGTGCTTTCCTTTTCCTTTGAACTTCTTCACGTGTCTCTTTGACCCTTTTTATGCCATATACCATTAGGGCTCTGACTCCTAGAGCTAATTTCACTTGACTTTATTAGTAGAGGCAGTTTGAACTTTTGAAGGACAAGATTTGTTTTCTTTTTTTAACAAGGCAGTATACAGACAATGAATCAGATTAGACCAGTGTTTCTCGACCTTGAATAATACATGGAGACATTATAGTGGAAAGAGGCTCTTTCAGGTTCCCTAGCAGTGACTTGCTTTTCCTATAATGTGTCACTTTAAATGTAGAAACAGAAAGCCCAATTAAAACTATAGCCCATGAAACTAAAACGGTTCTGTAAAGAAATGCAATTATAGGGCTGGCATGATAACGTAGCAAGCCAATACTCTGTCACATCAGTACCCCATTTGGGCACGAATTCTGGCCCCAGCTGCCCCACTTCCCGTCTAGCTCCCTGCTTATGGCCTGGGAAAGCAACAGAGGACCACCCAAATGCTTGGGCCCCTGCTCCTATAAGGGAGACTCAGAGAAAGCTCCTGGCTCCCGGTTTCGCATCACCTCAGCAGTGGCCATTGCTGCCTTTTGAGGAGCAAACCTTCAGATGGAAGATCGCTCTCTGTCTCTCCCTCTCTTTATGTAACTCTTTCAAGTAAAAGAAAATTTTTAACTTAAAAATTAAAAAAAAGAAATTCAACTATGACTTGAAAACTGATAATATTAGAATTAACATTTACTTTCCAGATAGTGCGTTTTTTCCAAAGACTGCACAGTGCTGGCACCATGAATGCTGCTGTTCTTGGTGTGCCTGTGCTTCTGCATGGTGTGTGATGACTCAGTTATCTAGAGTCACAACAAAACTGCCATTCACACAGTATACACATTGCCATTCAGTCTTCTCTTACAATTTATGTGGTAAATGAACCTCTGTTCTTTCCTCATTAGCCTCCTGACAATTAAAAAAGTGCTGGCTGCTCAGCACCAGCACAATCAAAAACCTGATGTGTTCATGGGCACACAATGTCAAGGCTGCAGGGAATTATAAAGTAATTATTGGAAATCCAGATAATTTCTTCCAAATATTATTAAAATGAAAACACCTCTAAAAAAATCTTGATGAAGACCTACAGACCCAAAGTGCATATCTCTGTTCATTTAAGAAACCCTGATTTGGACAAATACTTTGAATCAGGCGGTTTCCTTCCCATTGGTAATGAAGAGAAATTCACAGAGCAAGGAGTTTCAAAAAACTAAAGTCGATCATATATCTGAGGTGCTAGGATGTTGCATATTCTTGATAATCATGGCAGGAAAACTATCAGTATGGAAAGCATTTTCAAATAGGAGTGATACTTTGCTAAGTATGATGTGAGTTTATTTTCATGGAATTTTGGAGGAGAAGGAGGGCAGATAACTTGATACATGGATATTGTAGAAAAATTTTTTGGGCAGTATTCTAATTTGAGTTTAGAAAAAACTTTCCCTTTCATAATCATTTAACATAAAATTAGTTCTAATTACTAAAAATGTTCTGATTAATGGTAAGTGAAGAATCAAGTGCAGATTCTAAAATGAATACAGTGTATTATCAGTGTTATTAATTGTGTTAGTTACTATTAACATGAAAAATCTTCAGTCTTAACTCCGTTTGCCAAATCTACTCGGCAATTTTAGAGTCTATAAAAGATAAGAAGTGATTTTATATGCAGTGGCTAAATTAAACATGTAGGTTTGCTATGTTGTATAAAGTGCTAAAGATCAGCAAATGTGAATGTTGATACTAATAACAAGGATGCAGCTAACAGATATAATACTTTTTGAAATGTACCCTTATAAGGAGTTAATTTTCGTTAGCAAACCTTAGGGCAGTCTAGTAGAAATATGGGCTGATAGAAGTCATAGTATAGCTGTTACTGGGTGTATGCTAGTAACGCATGAAAATTCCTTCTGTCAGCTCGTCTTGCAGGCCTCTCCCAGTTTCATATCCTTGGAGAGAGGCAGAGACAGCGTCAACCAGTGCAGCGTGTGGAGGTTGCGGCACAGTGCGATACCAGCAAGCTGTAGGACTCCAAGTCTCTGCAGCAGTTCTGTAAATACTGTTGGACTAACTGCTTCCCCCCTCTGGATTGGACAGTTACCCTCATTCACTTTTATGGTCATGAAACGTTTCCATCTTGATCAGAAATATTTTATTAGGCAGTTTATGGAGGTGGCAAATTCACAGTAATTCCTATTTTGAACTGATTTTCTAGAATGGGGAAACTCTAGGAACGGTAAAGTGAGAGACAAGAAGGTATAAGGTGTTTAAGAGGGGAAAGGGAGAAAGGCCTCAGGATTTGGGGCAAAAAATAACCAGTTCATTTTCCTCTGTCGGTTTCTGCTTGAATCACTAACAGGCAGTAATTTCATCAAATTCATTTTCATCATTTTGAAAACTCAAAAAGTCAAAAACAGAAGTCTCTACTTCCTTTTCTATCCTTTCATCTGCCTATACAGCTATCACTCACTGCTTTTGTAATATTTTAAACTTTTTATGTCAGCAGTTAGTAAGAACTTCTATGAGAAGCAAACATCATATTAAAGTTGTTGACGAGTGTGACAGTGGGATTCTAATTGTTGTGTATAACCAAAAGAAAATTATACAACTCGAAATCTGTGGTAACCCCAGGGTTCTTAAACTCTCATTTTAATTGAATGGTATTACCATACCATAAAGTTCTATGCTGTTTAAATATTTTGTTTTCCATTCTACCTGTTTGTCCTTAGATTTTCTATGTATACTTTCTTAGATTCATTTGTGTTACACCTTCTAAAATTTTTTCTAGGGGTTTTCATTTGAGTAAAGTGAACTAATATTGTGTCTAGTTATGTTTATTAGTTGGCTTTAAAAAGATCAGAAAATAACATTATGCTAAAGTAAATACTTATTTTTTAAATATTTTTAATATTAATCTGCTAATTTATAAATTTTTGTTAAACTTGTTGGTTCCAGCCTTGAATATGCATTTTAGCAGGTACAGAAACTAGATTATATTCTGTGTTAATTATTGATAATTGAAAATAATATTCAACTAGTGTGTCTTTTATTAGGATTAAATTTTTCCTAACTCATTTGCATCTTTTAAACTTATAGATTACTTGATATATAAATAAATAATATATATATAAAGTATATACTTGATGTACTTTGGTATTCTTTAAGAAGTAATGACTAGGGGACCAGCACAGTGGTATAGCAGGCTAATCCAACACCTGTGCTAGCGCCAGCATGGCATATGCACACTGGTTCAGGTCCTGCTGCCACACTTCCAATCCTGCTCTCTGCTTATCGCCTGGGAAAGGAACGAAAGATGACCCAAATGTTTGGGTCCCCCATTCCCGTGTGGGAGACCCAGAAAAAGCTCCTGGCTCCTTGCTTCAGATCACCTCAGCTCTGATTATTACAGCCATTTGGGGAACCAAAGGATACAAAACTTCCCTGTTTTCATCTCTTTTCTCTCTTTCTCTGTCAAATTTCCCTTTCAAATAAACATAAATGTCTTTTTTTAAAAAAAAAAAGTGATACTCAGTCTTGCTGCACTGCCTGCTGAGAGTCACAAGCAGCCAGTGCCCCACTGACTGTGGACATACTGGCTGTGGGCGTAGTGACCATGATCCAAAAGGCTTGGGTACAGAAACGCTTTCAGAGTTTCTAGACTTTATCAGATTTTTGAATATTTACACAAAGCAAATGTGAACATCTAAAATTCAGAGTGTTCCATAATTGAAACGTTTTGAGTGGCTGGTCAGTGTTTAAAATAGCACAGATTCTCTGAGTGTTTCTGACTTTGGATTTGGAGTTTAGGGATGCTCAACCTGTACCTCATGTTTGGGAAGGTCTTTTGTTGGGTAAAACCTTAACTGTATGTTGAAATGCACTTAACCAGATCACTGGATTCTTTTCAGACTGGGAAGAAGAACAAGTCAGCAGTCCAAATATTCTACGACTAATTTATCAGGGGCGATTTCTACATGGAAACGTCACATTGGGAGGTAATAGACACCTTTGTGATAGGGCTTAAGGTCCGTGATGAAGCATTGTTTCTTGGTTTTAAATACTAGTGCCTTTGCATTTACTAAAACAATAATAGATTCAAACTGAATTCTGACTGTTGACATGCTTACTCTTTCATAGTTTGCATTCTATTAAACTAATTTAACACTAAGTGTGTACTACTTTATGAAATGAGCGCTGTGCCAGTGTAGTGGGAGTTCATATGTACTCCTTTATAAATATAATTTCATTGCGCTTTTGAATAATGTAATTTAGATGTAATATTTAAAGTTAAAACCAGAAACCGTAATTGGGAGAATTTATAATTGGTTTTAAAATGTAATAATGAGGGATTCGTTTTCATTTGATTTCAACTTTATAATTACTAATTATTTGAGAATGATTATAAATGACTTTATGAGAGCAACAGTAAGAGATTATAAGAGAGTGGGAGAACAGATTTGGGAGCCATACTATTCAAGTTGTATGCTAACTCCCTGCCTGTTGGCTGTGTGGCCTTGGGCAGTGTCTCAGCCAGTTGCCTCATCAGTGAAATGTAATTAGAACAGCACCCACCTTCTAAATTGAGAGAGGCAAATTGGCTTATATATTTGGAACACTTGGATCCCTTAGAATAGCAAGTAGCATTTGGTGAAACTGTTAGCTGTTATTGTTCTTTAGGGGTAACTGGAGAAATGTAGCTCAATAGTGCCCCCTTAGGGGAGCATTTTCTGCTGTCAGTAAGACATATTTTTTGGTTTTGTTGTTTTAGAGATTTATTTATTTTTACTGGAAAGGCAGATGTCCAGAGAGAAGGAGACACAGATGGACCTTCCATCTGCTGGTTCACTCCCCAGATGACTGCAACAGCTAGAACTGAGCTGATCTGAAGCCAGGAGCTTCTTCTGCTTCTCCCACATGGGTGCAGGGAGCTAGATGGGAAGTGGAGCTGCCAAGACATGAACCAATACCCGGTGGGACCACGGCACCTGCAAGGGGAGAATTCACCAATATAGTCATTGCACCAGATACAGGGAATTTTTTTTAATAAGTATATTTCACATATACTCACATAATTGGACATATGTGGGCTAATGAAATAAGCTATTTAAATACATGTTTCAATATAGTTTCACTTTCTTTTTTCTGAACCTAATGAAATATTTACCCTATTTTTTATTTTTTTTTAATTTCATTATATGACACAGTTTCATAGGCTCTGGGTTACAGTATTTTTTCTTAGAGGTAGAATATTTATATTCATTCAGTGTGTAGTCATTGAGTGCTTACATGCTAAACATCTGCAAGGTTTGGGGCTGAGTCTTCACTCAGTCAGGCCCCCAGGCATCACATGGGACAGAGATGAAACCCACCATGTCCCAAGTTCTAGAGTAGATGAACGCAGGCACACTCCTGGCAGTATCACTCAATGCAGCATTTCCAGATAGACTCACTTATAGCATTGTTGGCACTGTTCTAGAAAGTGCTGCTCTCTTCTAAGAGATGACTTCCATTTAAAAATAAAGCTTTCTGCTTGGAACCAGACAGGAAATGGACAGCTTGGACTCACATATACCTTACCAGGTAGGACACAAAGACTAGTTACTCCTCACTAGGGTATAAGAGATTTTTCTGCACACCCCTCCTAAAACTGTTTTGCACCTCAATTGCTAACACATGGCGTATTTGAGTTGTAAGCCTGTTTGGACTATCCTAAAATTCACGAAGTTCAGTAAAAATTATGTTTCAATAGTATAAACAGCTAAATATAAAGATGAAAATAGACACAAGACAGCTGAATAGTACCCTGTAACCATTTTAAGGCATATAGCAGCCGGTTGTGTATAAACTAAAATTGAAACGTCAATGAAGTAGTCACAGGATGTGGTTAAGAACTTGGATTTTCTAACATTGGTCACTCAATACCATGTCAATTAACGTCATGATGTTGTAAATTGTTGTTGAAGTTGTGTTGTGGCTTTTCATTGGAGGGGATGATATTCTGCCAGCTCTACTTTCAGACCAGGGATGGGCTCCCCGAGAAACTGTTGAATTTATTTGGACAATAAGATGCTGGACTGTCTGCATGGTTCATGGCCGCAATGAAGGAATCATGACTGGACTTGAACTATGCTATTGCAACAATGTGGAGCAATCCACCGTGGGGGGAGGGCTTTTTGGAGAGGTTGGGGGAATCCCAGAGCCTATGAAACGGTGTCACAAAACGAAATCTTGATCTGGAGCTTTCCTTAAGTTGATAGTCATTGAAGAGAAGGCAGTTTGAGGTGTCAGGACTGCAGCGTCCCAGCTGTGGAACAACTCTAAAGTGAGAGACTGAATCCATTTATGCACAGAACAAGGATTTACTATAAAAAGTGAAGCTGTGTTCACTTCAGTGGCTCAGATGGGAGATATGCTTCGTCTCTGTGTCTGAACTGTGACATAATGAATATTTATTGTGAATGAAAAAAGCATTTAAGGTCTTGATTGGAATGTAGTGATCATTAACAATGCCAACACAGTGATTCTTTTCATCTATCCTTTTCAAATAAATTATTTTCTAAGAGTAGAAGGTTGAAATTATTTAAAATTATATTTATCATTTTTTATTTCTAAATTAAGTATACATTCCTCTTTTAAAGATTATTTGCTGTTATGAGCTAATTAGATATTTTCTTGTGTCCTCTTCTTTAAATAATATGGATGTTTGTATCAAGCTAATGGCCATTATCTGGGAAGAGGAGTTTTTTAAATTGTAAACATTATGCCTGAATATAAAAATATTCATTTAGTTTTGCACAGGAGACGCTCCGTCTGTTGAGTTCAATCTGTTGAGGAAATCATACAAAAAGCAACTGATCTTTTAACATGATTTCGGTGCTGATTGATGATTTTAATAGATCAGTGTATCAATGTGTATACAATAGCTTGTTTATTTTTTTCTGTTCTTTTTGTAGCATTAAAGCTTCCCTTTGGCAAAACAACAGTGATGCATTTGGTGGCCAGAGAGACGCTGCCAGAGCCAAACTCCCAAGGTAAGCTGTGTGCTGGGGAAGTGACACATGGGCACGGAGACACGCATTTCACAGTGGTTGGATTCTTTGGAAATTCTGTGGGAAAGGAAATTATCTTTGGAAAGGCAGATTTACAGAAAGCTCTTCTGTCTGCCAACTCACTCACCAAGTGGCCTCAAGAACCACAGCTGAGCTGAACTGAAGCCAGGAACCAGGAGTTTGTTTCAGGTCTCCCATGGGGCTGCAGAATCCCAAGGCTTTGGGTCATCCTCTGCTGCTTTTCCAGGCCACAGGCAGGAAGCTGGATGGGAAGTGGAGCAGCCAGGATGCGTACTGGCACCCATATGGGATCCCAGTGCATGCAAAGTGAGGACTTTAGGCGCTAGCCTACCACACTGGGCCTGGGAAAGGAAGTTTTCATAGTTTGTGACCAGAGCTTGTCAGATAACCACTTTGGAAAAATGCCAAAGTTAAAATAGAATTTATTAGCCTTCTAATTTTAAAAATGTGACTATCAAAAGGAAACACTCACTGTCCTTGATGCCTGACTTCTGTTCCTCTAGTTCTACCAGAATTTTGATTTGGTACTCACAGCTTTTCTCGTTTTTCCCCAGGTCAAAGAAATCGGGAGAAGACTGGCGAGAGTAACTGCTGTGTGATCCTGTAAGGCTGAGGGCAGGTGTGAGTGGTGCGGCTCTGCCATGCTGAGGGGACAGGAGCGGCCCCCCGGGGCTCCAGAGCCCTCCCAAGCTGGCTGCCTGCACATCCCCAGAACTGACCTAACACACAGGGCCGGCGTCCTTTCTCATGAAACTCAAAGGAACCAGGAACATTCTTCACTATGATTTTTTATTTCTTGTCTTATTGTTTCTGTTGCATAGTTTTAAAATATATTTTAAAATACATTGGTTTTTAAATGCAGTCGATATCCAGGGACAGAATTAACAAGCCCTTGTTGGAGCGGAAACTGGTTTGCTGCCACAAAAATTGTCATCACCAGAACAAATCAAGTATTCCAAATACAGTTTGCACTAAAAAGGACTGACATTATTTCCTCATCCAGAGATTTTGTTAACACTGTATTGTACCTAGAAATGCTCATGTACATTTCCAACTGGAATACACTCAGCAATTACTGAAGTTAGTGACTGGGCCATCCTGAGAGGAAGAGCTGGAAAGGAGAGGCAGATGCTGGGTGCTCCACCGTCAGCCGTGTGACCACGCCGGCGCAGGATGCCCCCTGAGCGTGACTGTGCTCCCAGCGACTAATGACAACTCCAGACAGCGTGCCTGCTGTGGAAGCGCTCAGCGGAGGGCTGACGGCCCCGGTGTTCTCCCTCCGCATGTGCACTTGAACGCTGCAGCAGCTGAGCGCCTGGTCAGACAGCACAAAAAGGGGCGAGAGTGCGTCTCCGAGCCTTAGCGCGGGCGGGACTCCTGTCGCGCCAAGGCTTTCGTTACTGTGCAGACATGAGGAAACCTCGTCAACTGATCCGTTTTATGTGTTTGAATATCAGCAAATGGAAATTTTCCTTAATAACTGCTCATCTGTAACGCCGTCCAGTGTCAGGCTTACTCATTAGAGAGTTGAGATGAATTCCTATAATTCAAAAATCATATCTCCATAGGACTAGTTTTATTTCTTTATGTAGTCTGCATTGGGTTATCAGTGCTTGCAATTGTATTAAAATCAAAAGCTGATTTTCAAGGCATACGTGATTAAGGATGCCCTTCATTTATTTTGTACCAATAATTTAAAGATTGATATGCTAAAAAACAATGTGCACAGCACTAAAGCATGAGCTAGTTTCATCTAAACCTGTAAAAATATGAAAGATTTTATATTTTTTTCACTGGGAAGCGATTCTTCCTGGGTGAAATTACAAATAATATGTAGAATATATTTAATAAAAGACTTATGAAATACCTAACTATATAACCTAAATATAGATTGGCGTGTAGTGTATAGAACAATATTCCACATAAGTAACTTTAGCCTTTTTAAAAATGAAGTTGCAGGCTGACGTTATGTTCTGTCCTTAGCCAGAAGTGTCCGAGCCTCACAGCCTGCGTGTCGGTGGGTTCACACGGTCCGCTTGGTTTCAGTGCAATCAGGTTATTTTATTCACTGTTCTTGCTTTGACACAAAAGCTTTGTATGCACTAGATCTACGAAGATACTGTTCATACTGATCAGAGTTAAGTTTGTATAGAGCAGAGTTTTAAAACGAATGTAAATAGCACTAAACATTTCTTTCTGCAACCTGTACTTACAGATTCTTTATGTAAACTAAATAAATAATGTAGTGCATTTTGGTGGTCATTTTATAGGTTTTAATTAGGTTATTAAGTGTTAATGCTTTGTCTCATCCACGGTTTCTAGTTTTGTTTCTGAATCTTTAAAATTCATTTAATTAATATTCTGTTCTTGGTTTGGGGAGTATTCCCAGTGTATCTTTGCTATTTAATCTAGTTAATTTGTGTGTGATTACACAATGGATAGAATTATGTAGCTTCTGTTTTCACTAAAGTGTTATAGTCAGAAGATGTTAAATATTTTTGTGCTTTGTTAACTAGCTCAAATGTGAATTCTGTTGGTGTTGACAGAAGAATCTGGTAGTTACTTAATTGGACAGTTAAGCCATTTATGGCTCTGTTCTTTTGTAAGACAAACTACTGGTAATTATTTTTAATACCTATTTTAATTCTAATTACTCTCCTTTTTTCCCCTAAAGACAGTCAGTTAATTATGGTTATTTTTATGATGATTAAATATTCTCTCGGTTTTCAAAATGTTTTTTTTTTCTGTATTTCCCACATTATATTTTTCCATTTTACAGGACCTCAATTTAGAGTTTGACAAGTGGGATAAACTGGTTCATTCATAGAGAAAGAATTATGTCACTTAATATCATAGTTGTACAAAATTTTTAAAAAGTAACAGTAAAATTATATACTGAAAACACCAAAAATTTAGATGCCTTAATAGTGTGTATGTGAAAATACTCAACTGTCCCTTTAAAAATAACTCCTTGGACTGGCTGCTGGTTTCAGATAGGATTGATCGCTTCCAAGGCTTGTATTAAGTCCCTTGGCCAAAAACAGCAGCTTTTGCACCCAAAGGTGAGGGCTGGGCAGATCCAGTGCCGCACATACAGCCTGACTGGTTCTCGGGCCCTGCCCAGTGCTTGCTGTCTCCATCTCATGGTTCCCTCTAGGAGTCCCCGTCCAGGCAGCAGCAACAGCTTTGTTTAGTAAAAGCTCAGCATGTCCCTCAGTCTGAATTATTTACTTTCTAAGATAAGTTGTATCTTACCATGAAAAATGCGGTAGCTAACATCACCGTTTGCATTCAGTGACGTTTTTTTCATAACAAACTTTTTCCTTAGTTTTATGAAGTCATCTTGACCGATTGTGGTAAACACTGTTTAATGTGAAAAGAAATTAAAAATTTCTTTCTCTATTGTAGAATCTCTCTCTTCTTTTAAATGGATTTTGTTCATAATTTTGATGTATTTTCCTATTCTTCATCGTTCTGCTATCTTGCTCCTCTTGTTGTCTTCAATATATTTTATCACCCTCTGGAGGGAAATGCAACTTGGCCCCAGTTTTTGCTGTGGCTCTGTTTTACCCTCACACCCTAAGGGTGACTGTTACAGGCCTTTCCTCCATTACCCTGTTAGGACAGCCATTCTTCAGCATGATGGGTGGGAGGGGCGCTCAGAGACGTACAGTGGACAATCTGTCACAGACTGCGAGTGGCTTTCTGATGACTGTGGCCCAGGCCCCTTGCACGTGTCTGGGAAGGGACTGAGTGGGACTACTGACAGTCTGTCACCCACTCCCAGAAGCCTGTCGCGGGTGTGAAGCTGTGAGTTCTGGAAGAGTTCATGGACAAAACTAAGGAACATCCAACCTTCAGATGTGCAACGTTAAACCTGTACTACCATGGGAAACATCATGTGTTGTATTTCCATGGCCCTCAGCAATAATGGCCAATGCTTATCTTCTGCCTCTTTTTCAAAGGACAGTTTTTAAGAAATACAGAGTAGACCTAGTAAAGCAGTGCCTTTCAGAGAACCCATCCAGTGAACGCAGTATTGGATAGACACAAACTTGTAAAATGCCTCGGTCAGACTGGTTTAGAAGGTAGTCACCACGTCTTCAGCATTTGACTGAAATTTTTTTTTTAAGATTTCTTCCCCACCCGCCGTGCCCCGGCCAAAAGACAGTCTGAGAATCTTCCATCAACTGAATCACTTCCCAAATGAGCACAACAGCCAGAGCTGGGCTGGTCCAGGTTTAGGAGTCAGGAGCTGCTTCGGGATCTTCCCACGTAGTTGCTGGGCCCAAGGCCTCGGGCCTGCTTCTTCTGCTTTCCCAAGTTACAAGCAGGGAGCTGGATTGAAGTAGAGCAGCCAGGACTGAAGTGGGACCCATATGGGGTTTTGGTGCTATAGGCAAAGTCTTACCTGATAAACCATAGCGTAGGCCCTTTTGACTTAAGCTTTCTGCAAATGTTCCTGGAAGCCTAGCTGATGGAAGGAAGTCTACAATGGAGTAGGCTAAGCTTGTAGTCACAAAATAGCAACAGAGACCACAAAGTCCTGACTGGCTGCAGTGTTAACACCCTGCCCCCTCCTGCAGGCTGGCTCCCACAGGTGCCCTGCCCCTTCCTGCTGGGTGGCTCCCACAGGTGTCCTGCCCCCTCCTGAAGGCTGGCTCCCACAGGTGCCCTGCCCCTTCCTGCAGGCTGGCTCCCACAGGTGCCCTGCCCCCTCCTGCAGGCTGGCTCCCACAGGTGCCCTGCCCCCTCCTGCAGGCTGGCTCCCACAGGTGCCCTTGCCCCCTCCTGCAGACCTGCTCCCACAGGTGCCCTGCCCCCTCCTGCAGGCTGGCTCCCACAGGTGCCCTGCCCCCTCCTGCAGGCTGGCTCCCACAGGTGCCCTGCCCCCTCCTGCAGGCTGGCTCCCACAGGTGCCCTTGCCCCCTCCTGCAGGCTGGCTCCCACAGGTGCCCTGCCCCCTCCTGCAGGCTGGCTCCCACAGGTGCCCTGCCCCCTCCTGCAGGCTGGCTCCCACAGGTGCCCTGCCCTGATGTGGTGTCCCTGGGGCATGACTTCACAGGTTTGTGTGCCTTTCCCAGATGCATTGTTAAAATTCAAATCATTTTGATCTCTCCATTTAGACGGATAATGGCTGTGTTCAGTCCTCGCCTCAGGTTTCAAAGCAAAATCTCTCGAAGTCAGGCCAAATTTTCTGTAACTGAGCCAGTTACTTATTCCTTGTCTATGCATTTTTCCTATGTAAAAGTCCTGTTGGGCAGGGTTGTTAGGAGGACCGGTTTACAGTGACTATTTAGAGCATGACTTTACCCAAGAACTGAAATCGCAGGCTGGCAAACCTGCCAAGGGCTGAGTGGGGTAGATAAAGTGGTAGGCAGCAACATGGACGCTAGAAAGGACGCTCACAGGATGAGCACAGAAAGCATGTGTATGGGTCCGTCTAAAGACACAGAAAAGCAGAACAAAGGGAGGAGGTCTCAGAAACCTGCAGTGGAACAAGAATGGAGGAGCCAGCCATTCAGCTATGAGATACAGCTTCCTCCTGCTGGGAGCTTGGACAGGAACCAGCTGGGCACGCTGAGCATGAACGCTGGCTCGGAACCTGAGCTGGGATTTATCACTGAAGTATAAGCATGCACATACATTGTGCCAAGAAAGGGGAGATATGGTGGGGTCTGAGTTTGGGAACGGTACTGGGAATCAAGAAGGGTGAAGAAGGACTGTCGGAGGAGAGGTAAGAATAGGAGATGCACACACACGCATATAGAAGTGATGAGGGAGAGAGCCTGTGAGCCTGCGATTGGTTCACTCCCACAAACGGCTGCAATACACCTGGAGCTGGGCCGTGCGGAGTACAGCAGACAGGCTTGAGTGGCAAAGGCCAGGTGCATTAGCACAGAGCTGGATCAGGAGTGGAGCTGGACCCAAGCCAGTGCTCTGATGTGACATGCTGGCACTGCAGGCGTCAGCTTAAGTCACTACACCTCAGCACTTGGATTTCTGTTGTGAGTTTGCATCAGGTGAAGAGGCAAGACACTAGAGACAGTGGAGTGGTTGGATGGCACAGGTCTGGCTCGACTGAGATGGCTGTGCCATGGGGTTAGCGGAAGTAACAACAACCACAACAAAAACATCCCTGTGGATTGACAGTGGGCCAAAAGGAAAGGAAGATTGAGTGGAAATGTTATGAAGAGGTTGAAAAGGGAAGGAAGGGATGACTAGAGTGCTCTGGCCGGCTGGCAGCTGCTTCTGCAGCTTCCTCACTTCCTGGCTTTGGTGGGGAGGGACTTTCCTGCGCCTCGGGGAAGTGGGACCCGGTTCTGATGTGATTGCTTATTGTGGCTGTGTCTCCCCCCCAGGCCTTGATATGCACCAAGATGATGCAACAGAAGACCCCGGGCCCCAGTGCGTGGCTGAGGAACCTACCACTGTGCCCCAAACCACGTGCCGGATGACCTCGTGCATTTGTTGGACTTTTCCATTTCTGTTGAAAACTCCAGTGATACACCAGGAAGAGTGTTAGGCGTCAACAGGTGCTCCAAGCTTTCTGCAAATAGGAGCTCACAAAAAAGCCAGAAAATGCAAAGATGCCACACCTCTCAAAAAAAAAAAAAATCCTGGCGATGGATGCTTAGCACAGCCATTAAATTGCTCCCTGGAATGCCTGTGTGTCATATCCAAGGTTCAGTCCTGGTTCCAACACTTGTGACCCAGCTTCCTGCTAATGTGTACCCTGGGAGGGAAAAAAACGGATGGTCCAAGGCCTTGGGTCCCTGCCACCCACATAGGAGACCCAGATTGGTCTGGTCCAGCGCAAGCTGTTGCAGGCATTTGAGGATGAACTAGGGGACGAAAGATTTCTTTGTCTCTCTGTGCCTCTGCTGCTCCACTTCCAATCCAACTCACTGCTAATGCACCTGGAAGGGCAGCAGAAGATGGCCCAAGTATCCCTGGGTCCCTGTAACCATGTGGAAGTTTCCAGGCTCCTGGTTTCAGCCTGGCCCTGTGTAGAGGTTGCAACCATTGGATGAGAGATCTCTCGCTGTCACTCTGCCTTTCAGATAAATCTTTTTTTTTTTAACTGACTTGTGTTCATTATAAAACATTTCATAATTATATAAAATTATGAGGGAAGGAAAACTAATCAAACCATCCAGAATCAATGTTTTTAATAGAATTGTACTTCATGACTCCTGTCAGCACATTTTAGATTTGTTTATAAAGCAGAGAGACAAAGCAGGGACACAGAAACAGAGATCTTTCATCCACTGCCGCAATCGGGGCACACCAATAGGAGCCGGGAATTCCATCTTCCTCTTTGACAGGGATGGCAGGGACCCAGGTACTTGGGGCCATGAGCCACTGCCTTCTCAGCTCGTGTGTTATCAGCTGGAATCAGCAACCAGACCTGGGATTTGAACCCACACTATGATCTGGGTTACAGGCATCCCAAGTAGCATCTCAACTAATGCACCAAATGCTCACCTTCAAAATCCACTCAGTATCCTGATGGGGTATTACTCCTTGTTTTCCTTATCAATATGCATGCGTCACAATTTAAATTTGAATACTATGCATACAGGATTTGTGTATTTTTCTATCTTTGCAGATCTCCAGAGTATTAAACGTTCTTTTAAAATGTATTTGATAGCTGCATGATGCTGTTTTATAGGCACAAAATTTTTCATTTTATTTTGATTGTTTTTAATTTTTTTAGATGATGTTTACATAATGGATCAGTAAGGGAAAGGTTAAGGAGAAGTGGGTATGACCATTGTTTCCAAACTTTCTATTCCTTCTTCCCATGTTTGGGGGATGGGGAAGGAAGATAAGGAGAGAAGCCATACCCAGCTTCCCAACCATCCCAGTACTTGAGGAAAGATAACAGCCACCCAATATCAAGCCAGGATCCCAACGTGGCACATGCGCTGTGGGTTCTGGACAGGTGGATGCAGTAGTTCTGGAGTGCTGTCAGTCTGACCAATCACGGATGAGGAATCCCTTCCAGTGTCCATTTGCTGACACAGTCGACCTTTGAGTCTCCAATTGTGCAGATATTTGCTGTCATCTTTTGGCTGGGGTAGTTGTCCACATGTTCTGTTCTCAATTTTCTGCTATGATACCATTTTTCTCTGCAGGCCCCAAGGGGCTGTCATATGCTCTGTGTGTACCATAGTCTGCATCCAGTATTCTATCCTTTACACTGAAGAGGACCAGTTCTCACAGGTGGGCCCATAAACCTGAGCCAGGTGACCTGGGCCTGGCTGAATCCCCCTAACCCTGGGCTTCACAGACTCAGCACCCACCATGCAGGTGTGCTCAAGGTTCCAGGCCAGGTGACCTGAGCCCGGCGGGACTCTCCAACCCCTGGGGCTCTCGGATCCAGCACCCACTGCACAGGCAG